CATGGAACCAGATGTTTTCTATCATTTTTCGAAGCCAAACATCCGACATCATTTCGAAACATCCATTTCCAAGTCAAACATGCTACTACAATAGCAAAACATTGAACCCTACTAAAAAAGCCCATAGGATTTTTCAGATGGCCTCTAGTAGCAGTGCCAATAGACTCTTCATTGTCGCTGTCTGAGGAAGACATGGCTGATTTGTGTGGCAATGATGGACGGAACGATTTCGAAAGCGTCATGGTGGGAAATTGTGGCATTGGTGTGGCCTTTCGTGGAACTAGTACCGGAGCGCTACGCGCCCAAATCCACTGCCTGGCAGCCGCACACCTACTTAGCTGCACAAAAACAATACCTATCTCCATCAACGAATATCCGGGCTATCAACAGTCGTCTGTAGAGCCAAGAAGACATACTCTTCACTCTCTATTGCTTGCGCGGTGCGTTGGCGCTCTGTCAACAAGCTACGAAGTCTGCAAAGCTACAGTAGATTTACTGCCAGGCAGTGGATTCACGAGTGTACCAAGACTAAACGATAGCCAGGCATAGTGTTGTGGATGCACCCAGAGTTAAGGAGGCACACCTACCTTCGGATGGAAGGGCAGACGGTGCGAGTTCTAGAAATTAATAAATACTTCGTACTTCAGTGTTCTGCGCACCTCCAGCGCGAGGGCACGGCTTGAATGCATGGTTATCAGCAGCAACAACAAGCAAAACTCGCTAAAAAAGCATCCAAAACATACCCTCTATGTTGGATATTTGATGTATTCAGCCATATTGCGGCTGTCAGACAGTGTTATAATATCACATAGAAGGATGGACAAGCGGTGGCACCACTGGAGATGCCCCAGCCATCGAGAACTCGTGTGATCGCGGGATAATAGGTCTCCCATCTTCAAGTGGTCCAACCTTTCTGTAGCCTACACCTCTCTTGATACCACTACCGCCGATGTATAGAGTAGTAATAGTAGATTGGTCCGTTCAATGGTAAAGTGTATAGACTACAACATAACTTCTAGCAGCGTCTTTTCGCCATCTTGATTTGAGCGATTTGCGATGAGAACTCGTGTTATTTGTTGATCCAGGCAGGGAGCCTAGTGAAGATTTAGTTAGTAAGATTTGTTATTAACAATTATGAGCAAGTTCTAGCTAGTTGTCCCCAGCCTGGAGCACACAGGCTCTGCCAGGGAGTGCCAACTCTCAACCGCTTTTGCTGGCTAGTGGATCCCACAAGCCAGGTGAGCTTATTTTCAGTCTTGCTGACATCTTGATAGTGATTGGGATCTGGCTATGGGACTTAAAGACTTAAGGGCCCAGGTGCCAGATCAACACACCCTCACACTATCTCGGGGCAGCATTGGTTGCGTGTGTGGTTGTAGTGTTGTTGCTGTTTTGCTTATTGATGTAGGAACTTCACTCGTTCGCTGCGATGATGTGCAGCGGAGTGGTGCTTGGTGAAGTAGTCTCCTTTGTTGGTGATTCCTGGCCTCCAGTAGATGGTGAATTGTTGCTGTTCAATTCTATCTTTTAGCCAGTAGAATCTCATGTCAATGGCTTTCGATCGCTTCTGCTTGACGGTTCCATTGAGGATTCCTTCTGCACATTTGTTGTCTGTCTGTATTGGGGTAGCTGGTTGTGGGTGGCCCATCTCGATGAGGGTTTGCTGCATAGGGCATGCTTCTTGCGCGTTGTTGAATGCTGCTCCAACTTCGGCCTCAGCTGCTGAACCGAGGACGTTTTTCATGATCTTGACTCCACGTGTATGGCTCCATTATCGGGCGCATTGTCGTGGTCTCCATTGCTAAGGAACAAGTAGCCACCTGCTCGTGATCTGGCTTTGGGGGCCGATAAGTATGATGCATCCGAGTGTAGATGTAGGATCATGTTGCTCTTTTTATAACGTAGGATTGCGTCTGGGTGTGTGGCCGCGTAATTGAGTAGCATAACCACGGCTTGGAGTGTCTTCTCGGTGCCGTGTGTTTGTTCCGCCGCAATGTCGCCTAAGCAATGCCATTAGCATGGTGCAGTCAACTGCCCTAGCATAGTACAGTAAGACGCCCACTACTTCTTGGATGTGTTTGATACCGGATGGTGGAAGTGGAGTAGATTGGTCTTCTGGTTCTGTGTATTGGATTTTTTGGCCATATTGGGGGATGTTCCACTTGTGTGGGGCGTGTTGCGGTCGGTCTGGTTGCTGGTGATTGAATCGCTGTAGGGCTCTTTGAACATATTCAGGCATGGATAGGTCTACTGTTCCGTGTTGGTAATCCCATTTTAGATGTATGCCACAGTACAGGTCGCCATTCCAATCCGTCGTGATCTTATAAGCTTTGGCTAGGGTGTCAATGAGATGCATTGCATTCTCCTTTCCGACGTATTTGACTCCAAAGTCATCAACGACTAGTGTGAATGCTACGGGCCGTTCGTTGTGCTTGAATAGTCCATGGACGTGTCGGGATTGGTTGTAGCCATTTGCAGTGAGGTATTCCACTAGTGCATCGTTCGCTATGCGTCCTGCCTGTGGAAGTCCATACATGCCACGATTTATCTCCACTAGGACATATCCATTGTGTACCATGCCATGCAGCTGGTACTGTTCCATGATTTCTGTTGGAATACAGTCGACTGGAATTCTCATGTATTCTGGTCGTTCCATGGGTGTGTTCAAGTAGAAATCTTTGATGTCGATTGACATGAACCTGGCGTCTGATGTTGAGATGACGCTGTTGAGATGCATCTTCACTGTTGTCAGGGATGCTGTTTTGGTGCTGACATCGAATGGGTACTCTATTCGGTCTCCTCCGACTGTGAATCTGACTCATCTGATCTCTGCTTTCTGTGGGCGATCGTCACATACGACTCTGAGGTATGTTGCTTTGCGTCCTGCCGGAATGGCAGTGTGGCGGATGAATTGAATGGTTTCGGTTCCTTTGAGTCCTGTAGATTGTCGTCCTTGTGCAAGGCGTCCTATTTCATTGCAGCATGCATTGATCCAGTGGTGACCATCAGATGATTGTTTGAGGACCTTGTAATCGGAGAGTACACCGGTGTCTGGGTCGACTGCTTTATTGGCTTGGTGCTGGGTGCTGTGTTCGGTGGTTGCGTTGGAAGCTGTTGGCTGTTTTGGTTCTGTTGTGCTGTCTTTCTTGGTTCGCTTCCGGTGTTTTGCCGCTTTTTCGTACGTTGGTTCTGCTTGTGCCACCCTCAGAACCGGACTATCGGTTCCATGTCCTGTCTCGTTGTGGTCTGGGGGCTGGTCGTGCAGTCGCTTGTCGAAGATTCGCGCTAAGTCCAAGAGTGTGGCCGCTTCGCTTTCGGTGAGTGTTTGGGATGCTGGGTTTGTTGTTGGCTTGGTTAAAGCTGTGGCTATGTCTCGAATGCCTCCTATGGCCATGTCAAGTGGTGTGGGGAAGGGCATTTGTACGCGTTGGGGAAACCAGGCTAAGGTGTCTGCCTTTCATTCACGCTGTGTTTCCCAAATCCAGGTTCGAAAACAGCGGTATGCTTCCATTTCAGGGCCGATGTACCAGCATCTTTCCTTTTGGTGCCCAGGTGGCTCTTTCGTGTGGTTTTTCATGTACTACAACGTGAATGCCAGGTGGAGCAATCGGGGTGGCTGTGAAGTCGAACTGGCCAAAAACCTGTGCATATGCGGATAGGCTTGGATTGATGCGTGATCCTCTCAGAAGGTTGAGTGTGATGGTGCATTGTGGTACAGTCGATCCCATAGGTGGAGGGGAAAGTTGGAGTCCGTTGTGCATAGTCCTGCTATGAGGTGGTTCTTGTATGTTTGGATTGCTTTTTCAGCCGCATTGCGTCGGTGAATTCCAGCTGGTGTTGTTTGAATTCTGATGCCTTCGGCGTGTACGTGGTCGCGGAGCAATTGGGAGCATTCGTTGTCGAGAACATGAAGGCGTGGGCGAAGTCTTGCATGGACTAATCTGTTGTGTATTGTGGTCCAAGCTTTGACGTGGGCTTTGGCCGATCGTGTTTGCATTGGTTCTGCGTGGATGTGGTCTTGGTATAGGATGAACAAGTAGTTGTTTCCAGTACTCGAGGGTATGAAGAATCGTCCTGTCTGATCCGAGAACGACTTGCCGGTGGGTTGTAATACTGTCGCATAGGATGCGTGTTCGTATGGGCTATCTGGTGTTGTTTGTTCGTGTTGTGGGAATGAATCATTGTCATGTTCGGGCAATAGTGGCAATGGTTCTGGTTCTTTCTTTGTAGATTGAATACCTTGGCGTTGTTGGTTGAGGTGTCCTTTCGCCGTGGCTATGGAGTTTGGTGTGTGCTTGTTGAGTGCTGTCAGTGACAGCCTGGATGTTTGTAATATAGTTCTTTTTTAAAGCTTCTCGTAATGTCGATATGACTGGGGAGAACAATGCTGCATGTGCGAATGCCACTAGATCGGCTGGTGTTGCTGATGGTGTTGTAGCCATTAGGTTGGCTTGCTGTTTGATGGTTGGGTCGAGATTGATTTCCCATAGTTTGTTAGTGGAGATGTTTCGAATTCCCTGTAGGATTACATCTCCCACGAATGATATGAGGCACTCGTGTGCTCGGAAGATTGCCTCGCATCCTGCATCACAGAGTTTGCCGATGGATAGGAGGGATGTGGTTCCCAATGCCGGGAACAGATGTGCTTTCGTGGCTTCTTTGGGTAGGTTGGGTAGGTCGAGATGACATAGATGTGTCGATGTAATGACAGTATTGTCTGGGAGTGTGACCCGGATTGGGTTGTCCGTTAGTTTGATATTGATTATGTTTTCGTTATTGATTGCGATGAACTCTGTCGACAAGAAGTGTCCTGTACTGCCTGTGTCAGCGACTAATGGGGAGGCTTCTGGTTGGGACTGTTCTTTTGAATCGTCTATTGATTGCGAGGGACCTTTCGATGGTATTTGTTCTGCTATTTACTTATCTATAGTTTGGTTTTTAAGCGCTACTGTAGATCGGTTTGCTTTTTGTAATACTTTGTTGAATGGCTCCCGTCTTTCCTACTGGCCAGCTGGTGGTTGGTTCTCACTGCCATCACGGTTGGGGCGTTGGGGGCGACGATAGACTGCTTTTTCTCCGTCTCGGCGTCTGATGACGCAACAGCCACCTAGCATGTTGCTTTGGTTAGCTTTGTCGCAATGTCCAGGTAGTTTTTTGGAGCAAGTTGCACTGGTGTGCTTGCTGTTTGGGCCCAATCCGTGGGACCAACAGTAGTACATCGGGTCGCCTTCGGTGTCATTGGCCTTGGCTGCCATGTGACGGTTGGTGGTGTTGTCCAATTCCGTGGCTTTGTTGGCATATCCCATTTCCTTGGTTGTCAATACGCGGCGGCGCTCCTTATCAGCGGCAGTGAAGTGCGACTCGAGGTTCACGAACGATTCTTGTTCGGCTGTTGTCATTTTCCTCCAATCTTTGAGGGCGTCAGTGAAGACACCGCTCTTCTCTAGATTCTTGATTGCTGATCTAACAGCTAGTTTGTCCGTGATGGGGTCGTGATCAGCCGCAAATTTCTGGGCATCCTTGATCTGATTGTAAAGATCTTTGATTGGTTGGCTGGGGCTCCAGTTTGCTTCCATTCGGAGCATGTTTGCATTGAGATCTTCTGCGTCGACGGATCCATAGGTGGTGTCTAAATGCGTGAGTACGGCTAGCACTGTAGTTTGTGCATAACCGTACATCTCATGTTTCAATGTCTTGGTGAAAGTGTCTGGGACGGCCTCGAGGAGCTGCTTTTTGAGTGCAACCTCAGTAGCTTTGTAGATGTGGAATTTTGTTTCTGCTGCTGCATACACACGGTTGGCTTCCGTAATCTGTGGGCCGGTTGGTGCCACTCCTGGGTTGGGAGCGGCTCCTGGATGGGCTGGATTCTGCCAGGGTACGGTATGTGGTAGAGCATCGTAGGTGGCTTCAGGGATGACTAGGGCCAAGTGACCATAGTGGCCTCCTCCTAGGGTGGAGTTGATGGCCATGGCATTGGCATTGAGCTCTTGGTGGATGATTTTGAGGCTGTTGTAAGTGGGCTTTTCCTCAGGGGGAATGGCGGTGAGTGTGGTAGTGCAGAACTGGTCGAGTGCTACAAAAGAAGACATCTTGGATGTTGTTGGGGAGGGTGGACGGCAGCTTGGAGCGGTGTGCTATGGCTGTTGCTCTTCGCGGTGGTTGCGAGAGTTCGTCTGTGGATACAGGATTGTTAATAACTGTTGATCCAGGCAGGGAGCCTAGTGAAGAATTAGTTAGTAAGATTTGTTATTAACAATTATGAGCAAGTTCTAGCTAGTTGTCCCCAGCCTGGAGCACACAGGCTCTGCCAGGAAGTGCCAACTCTCAACCGCTTTTACTGGCTAGTGGATCCCACAAGCCAGGTGAGCTTACTTTCAGTCTTGCTGACATCTTGATAGTGATTGGGATCTGGCTATGGGACTTAAAGACTTAAGGGCCCAGGTGCCAGATCAACATTATTATCGAGTGATAAATGAGTCACGAACATATAAGACTGAAAGGTAGGTGTACCTCCTTATTAACGCACTCAGACTTGCCTCTTTTCTCCTCCATTAGCTTGCTTCTGGAACATTTAACCAGCACCATAGTTTTGTTGTCCACATCACAAATATCATAGAGTATCTGACGACGGAATGGGGCGAGGACCTACAAGTTGGCGCATTGGAACTGTTGAATCAAGATCTCAATGGAAAGGAGCGACCTACAAGCTATTGGTGCAGTGGAATTGCTTATTTGCAATACTACGGATTCGGGAAGAATTGACCGCAAAGGCCTTCTCTCAGGAATTCGAGGGGTCCTCTCAAGAATTCGAGGGCTCTCTTAGAAATTCAGGCTGTAGAGCTCTGGTACATTGCTACACAGATATCTTTTTGGAATTCTGGAACGTTTTTGCCAACCCACCGTGTCGCCCGGCGCGCGACGCCCTCAGATTTTGGGCCTGAGTTCGGATTTGTGGCTTAGTAGAATCTGTACCAGAGCTCTACGGTGCAACTCCAATTTTTGAGAGAGACCCTCGAATTTCTGAGAGAGGCCTCGAATTTCTGAGAGGAGCCTCTGTGGTCAATTCTTCACGAATCCGTGGTACCGGTATCCCCATCGAGAAGGTCTTGAGTGCGGAATAAGAAACCAGACCCTGCTATCCTTAAGTAACTGATGTACCTTCTACTTTTCTTTCTCTGCTGGCCTGGGTCGTCTCAACACATCTGCACAGATATCACGCAACCAGGCAGCCCAAGCGCACTGCACAACACAAGGAGCAGTGGAACGTCACCACATCTTGCCACTATCATCACACCTACCTTGTACCTGGGAGGAGCAGGAAAACGCATTACACTACTACACAAGCCATTAAACATACATGCAAGTACTATTTTATAAGGCATTCAACAAGCTACCCTTTGGTTGATTACATGAGCACTCAC